TCTCAGTGTAAAACATTCTTCGCAGACTCTGTCCACACCTTTGGGAACCCCTGGACCCCTGGAGCTGGACCCCGGCAGTTCATGACTACTAGGAGAAAGATTAAACCCAAAGTCCTGAACAAATGTCCTGCAAACAGGGTCTGAACCACCTGACTGCCCTTTTAAAACTAAGCAGACTTATTTCTAAAAGTCAAAACATGTTATACCCTCTATGGCAGCTAAGTATGACAAAATTAAAAATGCTGCTATATGAGTATTCTCAGCTTATTTTCTTTACTCCCTTTTTTTCCTGGTCCTTATCATACAGATCAGAGTAATTAAACCAGCAAAGGAGAGCATCTGAAGCAGCGGTTCTCAACCTGTGAGTCTCGACCCCTGAAAATACATCCTGCATATCAGATACTTACATTACGATTCATAACAGTAGCAAAATTACAGTTATGAAGTAGCAACGAAAATAATTTTATGGTTGGGGGTCACCACAACATGAGGAACTGTATTAAAGGGTCGCGGCATCAGGAAGGTTGAGAACCACTGAAAGGGAAACGGGTACTCCTGGAAGAGAAACTAGTAAGTTTGAGAAGAAAGGAAAGAAACAAAAAGAATGAAACTGTATAGGTTATTGTGAGAGAGTTTGTGAGAGATATAATTTTGGATTTAACCATGCAAAGATACTGATCAAAAATGGAGAAATCAGCCCTAGCCTGTTTGGCTCAGTGGATAGAGTGTCAGCCTGTTGACTGAAGGGTGTCGGGTTCAAGTCTGGTCAAGGGCATATACCTCAGTTGTAGGCTCGATGCCGGGCCCTGGTTGGGGCTAGTGTGGGAGGCAACCAATTGATATGTCTCTCTCACATTGATGTTTCTCTCTCTCTGTCTTTCTCCCCCACCCTTCCACTCTCTCTAAAAATCAATGGAGCCCTGACCGGTTTGGCTCAGTGGATAGAGTGTCAGCCTTTGGACTGAAGGGTCCTGGGTTTGATTCCGGTCAGGGGCATGTACCTTGGTTGTGGGCACATCTCCAGTGGGGGGTGTGCAGGAGGTGGCTGATCGATGTTTCTCTCTCATCGATGTTTCTAACTCTCTGTCCCTCTCCCTTCCTCTCTGAAAAATCAATAAAATATATTTTTTAAAAATAAATAAATAAAAAATAAAAATCAATGGAAAAATATCCTCAGGTGAGGATTAACAAAACAAAAAAATGGAGAAATCAGATTTTAAGTAGTATTGCAATATGGGATGAATGTTAATACCCTTTAGCATTTTTGAAGGCTGGAATAAAGATTTAAATTGCTTTTCAATTTAATTTAAATTTTAGGCTGGTTCTTACTCTGAATGGAAGACTAGAGATATGTCACAAAGCATCCTAGCTTAATAGTAATGAAAATAATAGTAACAAGATACCTGCTCTAAGTATCTTACATGTACTAACTCATAATTTTCACAATAACCCTACGATGGGATTAATATTCTTCCCCCTGCTACACAGATGAGGAAACTGTCCAAGGTCAAAGCTAGAAGTATACAGGGCTAAATTGCAAATCCAAGTAACCTGAGTCTAACAGTGAGCAACACTTCCCTATTTTATAGTATTGTCTATCCTCAAGCACTTAAGCATTACACTATTAAGCAAAAACACATAATCATAATTTAATTACTCTAAAATACCAACAACTTTGCCCTAGCTGGTTTGGCTCAGTAGATAAGAGTGTCGGCCTGTGGACTAAAGGGTCCCGGGTTCGATTCTGGTCAAAGGCACTTGCCCAGGGTTGCGGACTTGATCCCCAGCAGAGGGCATGCAGGAGGCAGCGGATCAATGATTCTCATCATTGATGTTTCTATCTCTATCTCCCTCTCCCTTTCCCTCTCCCTCTCCCTCTCTGAAATCAATAAAAATATTTTTAAAAACCCACAAAAAAACGTTTATACATTTAAAAAATTAAAAAATAAAATACTAACAACTATAACACATAAAGTAAAATGAAACATGTATGCATCCCATGGCTTCCTTCGCTTTAATTTCTTCTCCCCTTCATAGCCCACCATGGAAACTAAGAACTTTAAGATAATTTCTTTTTCAAAGTTACTTTTGAAAGTAAATTATAGTACAGTATAGTATCTATATATATAAAGGCTAATATGCTAAGTGTCCCTCCTACCATCCAACCGGTCGCTATGATGCGCACTGACCACCAGGGGGCAGACGCTCAATGCAGGAGCTGCCATGACACACACTGGCCAGCACCGTGGACATGGCGCTGACAAACTAACACTCGGCTTCTCCCAAGTGGGATACAGGCCCCACCACCACCCCTGAGCGACATCCCACCAAATCACAGCCACTGCTGCCAAGACCCCATGACACAAAATGCGGCCTCCAGCCTAGCCTGGAAATGATCGCCGTGGGCTCCAGGTAATGACATCACGTAGCAACGCCCAGCTTCCTCTCCCTAGTGACTAGCCTCCCTGCAGTTTCTTCAGCCCAGGAACACAGGCGGAAACATTTTACACTTTAACCAAATGTCTGTGAAGCGTTTTCACATGCCTCATCTCATTTCATCCTCACAGAAGTCCTGGAATAGGTAGATAGAAGACTTGGTGGAATCCTCTTTTCTTTTCATTAGCCAGAAAATAAGAGATTTAGAAAGCTCAGAGACTTGACCCGACTGAAAAGAAGTGAAAAATGGTGGACCTTGAAAATGACTTCAGGTTTTCTCATTGTGCAGAATATAGTCAAACATTGCTGCAGTTAGATATTTTACCCTTTGTTCTCCCTGTGTGATCTACAATAATAATCTGCTTCGTGTTGATATTTACTGCTGTGTTGCTAACATTACCTGAAAGAGAAGTTAGGATGCTTCACTAGGCTGGAAAAAGTTTAGCTAAATCAGAAAGCAGGTCTAATTAAGCAAGTTCATTCTATATGTATAAAAGGCTAAGTTGACTCGTGCATGCGCGATACATATAAAGCTCTCACTGGCACCAATCGCACGTGTGTGTTTCTATCTGTCATTGTCAATAGTGAATTTGGTTGACACTTCTATTATAGAGAAAGGGTGAATAGCTATATTAAAATATTTCTTCTAATTAATTTCCTTTCAATGTGCACGAATTCGTGCACTGGGCCACTGGTCTAAATATAAGCAGCAGCATAAGCAAAAGGTTGGAGTTGTGACTAAGCAAGGTATATTCAGAGGATAGCAAGGAGTTGGGCTACAAGAGAAATGAGAAGAGAGGATAAGTAATTAAGTTGGAAATGTAAGTTGGTGCCATATTACTAAAGGTCACATATGCCAAGTTTAAGAATATGATCTCTTGCCCTGACCAGTTTGGCTCAGTGGATAAAGCGTCGGCCTGCAGACTGAAGGGTCCCAGGTTCGATTCTGGTCAAGGGCATGTACCTTGGTTGAGGGCACATCCCCAGTAGGGGGTGTGCAGGAGGCAGCTGATTGATGTTTCTCTCCCATTGATGTTTCTAACTCTCTATCTCTCTCCCTTCCTCTCTGTAAAAAATCAATAAAATATATATTTTTTTAAAAGAATACGATGTCTTAAAAGATGTATAAAAAATAGAGAGCTGCTGATTATTTCTAAGTAGAGTGGTAAGACAATGAAAATAACATTTCAGTATAATTAATCTGACTAAAGAATTCAGAATAAACTTACGGGGGAGGAAAAAAAGAAATTAGAAACAGAGCAACCAGTTAGGAGGTACTGGTTAAGAACCTGGGCATTAGCAGTCAGAAAGACCTGCTCTGCTACTTGCTAGCTGTGAAGCATTGAATAAGTTACTAAACATATCTAAGTCTGTTTCCTGTCTGTAAAGTAGGATAATAATAATGCCTACTTCATAAGGTTGTTATGTGGCTAAAAGAAATAGTACATATAAAAGCATTTACTATACTGCTTGGTCTAAAAAATATTCAACAAGTGTTAGCAGCTATTACCATCATTACAAATTATTTCAAATGTGAGGTGCTATGGATCTGGTGCTGCGGAACTGGGCAAGGGCATCAGAAACTAAAAAGAAAGGATGACTTGGAATGACATTTCCATAGATTCGTGAGATGTTATAACTAGAAAAGGCCCCAAAAAACTCTTCTAAAAGCAAAATGGTCGCAGTTTAAATGTCAGGGATAAAGAAAAGAATGAGGCCCTAACCGGTTTGGCTTAGTGGATAGAGCGTCGGCCCTCGGACTGAAGGGTCCCAGGTTCGATTCCGGTCAAGGGCATGTACCTTGGTTGCGGGCACATCCCCAGTGGGAGGTGTGCAGGAGGCAGCTGATCCATGTTTCTCTCTCATTGCTGTTTCTAACTCTCTACCCCTCTCCCTTCCTCTCTGTAAAAAATCAATGAAATATTTAAAAAAAAAAAAAAGAAAAGAATGAGACTAGATAGCTCAAAAGATGTGTCTACAAAAGTATCCAAAGAGACAGATGTGGAATAATTATATGATATCAATATGCTTTTAAAACACAAGCTACGCCCTAGCTGGTTTGGCTCAGTGGATAGAGCGTTGGCCTGCGGACAGAAGGGTCCCAGGTTCGATTCCAGCCACGGGCAAATGCCTGGGTTGCGGGCTCGATCCCCAGTAGGGGCCCTGCTGGAGGCAGCCGATCAATGATTCTTATTATTGATGTTTCTCTCTCTCTCCCCCTCTCCCTTTCTCTAAAGAAATATATTTAAAAAAAACATAAACTACAATGAATTGCATACATACCATGTACCAAACACCATGCTAGATATAGTACATCTAATCCCCAGAATAATTCTGAAAGGTAGGTATTAGCTCAATTTTACAAAAGAGAAAATAGATGCTCAGAGAGGCTAAGTACTAGCCATATAACCTTGGGCAGGGTAAGAAGCAAAGCCAGATTTGAAATCCATATCACCTGTTTCCAAAGCTTGTGTTCTTTCTATTAACACTCAATCTGAATCCCCCTTTAATATCAATAAAAATTACGATATCACAGACATATTTGTAATTATTTTTCTACCTACCTCATTAAATATGGTGACCATAAACATGTCCAATCTCTTCTACATTATAAGAAAAATATAAAGGCATTCAGCATAAAAACAATAATGAAAATAAATTTTAAAAGCAATATGCAATGGAGAATCACCATACCTTCATGAAACATAGTTGGTTATACTATAAACTGTAATATATTCAATAAAAGCACTAATCTTTCTCAGTAAAATTCAAAATGGCATCGCTTTTACATCATTTGATTATATTAACACTAGAGGCCCGGTGCACGAAATTTGTGCATGAGTAGGGTCCCTAGGCCTGGCCAGCGATCAGGGCTGATCAGGTTCCCCACCTCCCCCTTCCCTCACCGCCCACGGCCCACCACCACAGGGTTCCACCACCGCATGGTTCCGCCTCCCCTCCACCTCCACTCCCTTTTCCCCTCGCCACCCACACACCACCTCCACGTGGTTCCCCTGGCCTCCCCGCCTCCTCCTTCCCTCACTCCCTCAGCACCTCGCAGCTGCCGCTGGACACCCGCCATGTTCCACACCGCCTCCTGGTGATCAGCGCACGTCATAGCAAGAGATCGAACTCCTGTTCTCCTGGTCGAACTCCCAAGGGGACACTAGATTTGTCCATACTACAATACCATTAAAAACTGACACCTGCTCTAACCGGTTTGGCTCAGTGGATAGAGTGTCAGCCTGCGGACTGAAAGGTCCCGGGTTTGATTCCGGTTGAGGGCATGTACCTTGGTTGTGGGCACATCCCCAGTAGGGGGTGTGCAGGAGGCAGCTCATTGATGTTTCTCTCTCATTGATGTTTCTAACTCTCTATCCTTCTCCCTTCCTCTCTGTAAAAAATCAATAAAATATATATTAAAAAAAAAAAAACCTGACACCTGCCCTGGCTGGTTTGCTTAGTGGTTAGAGTGTCTGCCCTCGGACCAAAGCGTATCAGGTTTGATTCCCAGTCAAGGGTTGCAGGTTCCCCACCCCGTAGGGGCGCATGAGGGAGGCAACCAATCAATCTTTCTCTTTCTCACCCCTTCCTTACTCCCTTCCACTCTCTCTAGAAATCAATAGAAAAAAATATCCTCGGGTGAGGATTGAGAAAAAAAAATAAAATAAAACTGACACCTAGCTTATAAAAGAAATATCTTACCACACATAGGAGAAGCATTTATATAAGATGAAACCCATCCAATGTTCAGAGTTATAAAGAATAATTCAACCACAGAAATAGAATGCCCAACCTGTTAACAATAAGGACCATAGGGTGGCAGGTGACCTATTTCTTCAATGTGTTTCTCCATCAGAATGTTAATCTAAATTTTACTAGGATGAAAATACCAAGTATGCTAGAGTAAGTTAATTTCCTGAAACAATCTTTTCATCTGATTTCAAAAAAGTCAGAAGACACTTTACTAGGTTGGCCATCAAATTGAGTAGTCAGGTAACTTCTGGACTAGTAGTTCTAAACCCTTTCTGAGGGTCCAAGAGGTCAAAAATACTTTCATAGTATTACTAAGTCATGATTTGTCTTTTGCACTCTTATTCTTTCACAACTGTACAGTGGAGCTTTCCAGAGGCTATGAACTGTGATATCTTAACAGACTGAATACAGGAGCAGACATGGAAATTTTGATGTCTTCTATTATGCCAGACATTAAAATTATTTGTAAAAAAAAATAAAACAATGCCACTCATCACTTTTTTCGAAAATATAGTTTTTGCCTGGCCAGCGTGGCTCAAGAGTTAAGCATCGACCTATGAACCAGGAGATCACAGTTAGATTCCTGGTCAGGGCACATGCCTGGGTTGGGACCTGGATCCCCAGCAGGGGACATGCAGGAGGCAAACGATCAATGATTCTCTCTCATCATTTTTTTTTAAATATATTTTATTGATTTTTTACAGAGAGGAAGGGAGAGAAATAGATAGTTAGAAACATCGATGGGAGAGAAACATCGATCAGCTGCCTCCTGCACATCTCCCACTGGGGATGTGCCCGCAACCCAGGTACATGCCCTTGACCGGAATCGAACCTGGGACCTTTCAGTCCGCAGGCCGACGCTCTATCCACTGAGCCAAACCGGTTTCGGCTCTCTCTCATCATTGATGTTCCTCTCTCTCTCCCTCTCCCTTCCTCTCTGAAATCAATTAAAAAAAATTTTTTTAAGTACTGAGACCAAAAAAATTGAGAACCACTTTATAGCCCTTTCTATATTTATGCTTTGCCAAACAATTAAAGCATTTAATTTTCTAATTACTACTGAAGAGATGTTGCTTCCCTAAAGATAATTTCAGAAATTTGTCTTGATCAGAACAAAAAAGGTCCACAGACAACCTTAAAAAAAATTGTATCCACTAATTTAAAAAAGAAATCATTGATTACATCTTCCCAAAATAAAAACAGTAACAATGTCAAAACTAAAGTACTAGCTAATAGACCACTATCTACAAGCTTTGGACATGAAAAGGGCTAGAAGAGAGAGTGATGTCTTCTAACAGAAGGGGTCAGGGAACATACATCCTGGTAAAGAAGGCATCTAACCTGGGCCCCAAGCATTTATAAAATTTCAACCAGTAACCATTGGGAATGAAAGGCATTCCCAGAAAAAGGGAAAAAAACATACATTCAAGAACAGCAAATACAAAATAGCTTCCATAGAACTTATGATGGACTCCAGTAGGAGAATAGACAGGAAAATTAGGTTGGAAGCAAAAATAGAGGGACTTCTATGACAGGATAAGCAATCTGGAACTTTAGTCAGTAGGCAAAAGGAAGCCCTTTGGTAACTTTTTAAAGTCATTGGAAGATTTACCATTGGAAGGTAAATTATCAGATGATACTTTAATGATACTGTGGACTGGACAGAATAGAAACAGGGGACAACAATTAGTACACTATCACACCAATCCAGGCAGGAAATACTATGAGCTTGATCCAGGTGAGGAGCTAGGAAAAAGTCAGATACAGGACATGCTACAACCTCTTCACTAATAATTTACTTAGTTTAAACGTTTCAAAATTTAATTTATTACACAAAACAAGGTTGATGTTCACATTACTTCCAGTAAAAACCATTCACTTCATAGGCAATTCAGCATATTCAAGTGTGCTTCCTTTTTAAAAAGCTGTTAGAAATAACTAACAATATTCTACATTAAGAAATTTGTCTTGATCAGAACAAAAAAAGTAATAAAGAACAACATATGCATATAACTACAAAGTTTACTGCCATGGAATACACAAAGTTTGGATCAGAATTTTCTATATAACCCCATAAGACCCACATCACTACATAATTATAATAGTCCAACTATTCTTAAAATCATTTTTTTGACAACTCAACTAAACTTGGCCAATATTCTTCTCCTAGGCCCATATTTTTCAAACATTAGTGCCTTCTTCATTTTCTCCCCTCCTCCCCACTCACTTCTCCACCCAACAAAATCCCTTTGTATGTCTGTAAGACAAGACACAGTATGATTCTAAGGCAGTTTGAATATATAATTCTTATAATAACAGAAATCTAAAATTAGTAATCTTACTTTTTACAAGAGAGGAACCAATGATGTACTTAATTTCCATTCAGATGAATGACAAATGCATCTAACAGAAATGATGCGTTATCATTAGGGGGGAACAAAGGGGGAAATACACACAATAGATGGGTGGCAAATCTTACAAACTTTATGAAACACTGAAAGGCTGCATCTGGATTGCAGTCACAATTATAAAAGCAAATAATGAAGGCTCCAAATTGAAGGGAAAAGGAAATAATTCCAAGCGATCGTTAAGAGTGAAAAAGGTTGATTCAATATTAGTAAATTTTTAATATAGCATAATTTAACACTCTGTGACTAATTGGGAGGAAAAACAAAGAGGATAATTCACTGTTCACAAGGACACTGGAAATAATTTCTGCATACATTCTATAAGGCAGTTATACTTCATTACACTTGCATGGTCGGAAATCCTTTCAAGCGTTTCCAAAAATACATAGGCTTATAATAATTGAGGTTCCCCAATGACACAAATTATTCTGTAGGTATAACTATAACACATTTCTAAAAGACATAACGAATTCATGCTCAACAAAAACTGGGAGTCACAAAGGCCCTCTACTTATTCAAAATCATTACATAAAGCACTGTCCATAATTGCAAACCCGGTTTGAAAATCTGACAGCTAATAATTATAAAATGGGGTAGATTTTAAAGAAAAAAAATTACCCAACTTTTCCATTTTCCCTTCCTTTTCCTTTCCTACCTGATACACAAAATGTCTGTAAGGGTCTCAGACAAAGCTCTAAAGTAGAAAGAAATACAGTATATGTATACTTTATATGTCTCCGAATCGATCACATATATGTACACATCACATATATTCACACAAGAAAGGTTCTTCCTTTTTTAATGTAAGAATTGAGGTTACATCAAACCCTATCCCATAAATTAAGTTAAATCACCACAAATTAAAGAGTAATAAGATATTGCACGTAGATCTCTCTGAGCGACTATATTCGAAGAAGAAAAACCTCAGACTAAGGCCATGACTGAATAAAAAACGCCCAATCCCTGAAAATCACTAACCAGCATTTGGTTCTTTAAGAGAAAAGGGGGGAGGGGTCTTAAAATGAATAATCACACTGGCAAGCCAGTTTCAGAAGTTAACGAAGGTAAAACAACGAACCAAATGAGACAAACCTAAGAAACGACAAGCTTTAAAGAATTCCCCCAAAAGGAGAAAGACTGGCTTCAAGACTGGGATATAATGCATCCTTTGCAAGTAGAAGAATCTTTAATTGAAAAAGAAAGAGGCGGGGGGAGCAGGGGGGGGGGGAGGAAAAA